CCGGTAGAGATGGGACCGAGGTCTCTCCACCGGTCCTGCAGGGAATTGGGAGCCCAGCCTCCATTCCCCAGCGGCCGTGTGATGTATTGGGAATTGGGAGCCCAGCCTCCATTTCCCAGCGGCAGTGTAAAGTGCAGGGAGAGGAGAGCAGCTCCTTCCCCAGCGGCAGGCTGAGTTACAGGGGGCAGAGGTAGTTGTTCCTGCCCCCCAGCAGCAGAGTGATATGCCGGGAAGGCAGTGTAAAGTGCAGGGAGAGGAGAACAGCGTCCTCCCTCCCCAGCGGCAGGCCGAGTTACAGGGGGCAGAGGTAGATGTTCCTGCCCCCCAGCAGCCAAGTGATATGCCGGGAAGGCAGTGGGAAGTCCAGGGAGAGGAGAGCAGTGTCCTCCCTCCCCAGCGGCAGCGTGATTTTTTGGGAATTGGGAGCCCAGCCTCCATTCCCCAGCGGCAGAATGATGCTTTGGGAATTGGGAGCCCAGTCTCCATTCCCCAGCGGCAGTATGATACTTTGGGAATTGGGAGCCCAGTCTCCATTCCCCAGCGGCAGTATGATGCTTTGGGAATTGGGAGCCCAGTCTCCATTCCCCAGCGGCAGCGTGATGTTTTGGGAATTGGGAGCCCAGTCTCCATTCCCCAGCGGCAGTATGATGCTTTGGGAATTGGGAGCCCAGTCTCCATTCCCCAGCGGCAGCACAGATCATTGGGAATTGGGAGCCCCGTCTCCATTCCCCAGCGGCAGAGTGTCCTACCGGGAATAGAGAGCCCAGTCTCCTTTCCCCAGCAGCAGGACTCTGTATTGGGAGCAGAGACAGTCGGTCTCCCTCCCCCACAGCTGGAAGTATGTATGGGAGAGGAGCTTGTTACCCCCTCTCCCCAGCGGCAGCTTAATGTACAAAGGGGAGACAGTAAGCCCCACAACCGTGCAGATGGGACCGTAGTCTCTACACTGCCAGCACAGGGGGTAGGGACGGTCGGTCCTGCCCCCCAGCGACAGGGCTGTTTAGCCAAAGGGGAGACAATCGGTCTCCCCCTCCAGCAGCAGAGATGGGTAACCAAAGGGGAGACGGTCGGTCTCCAGCAGCAGGACTGTACAGCTAAAGGGGAGACGGTCGGTCTCCAGCAGCAGGACTGTGCATCTAAAGGGGAGACAGTCGGTCTCCAGCAGCAGCAGCAGAGTGGTGTATTTAAAGGGGAGACAGTCGGTCTCCCCCTCCAACAACCAGGCTTCCACCAGGCTACCCTCCCAGTAGCGCTGGCAACAGGGCAGAGTGCCGCTGGTCTCTGCCCACGCAGCAACCCACCAAGTCAGCGTACCCGTACCCAGCACAGCCGTGGTGAGGCACCTGGACATGGACAAGCTTCCCCTTTACCCAGGTGTAGTAACCATTTATTGTGGGTGGGCTGTGCTGTTTATTATTTGTTGTGGGTGGGCTGCTGGACTAACAAGGGCACTGACCGGCAGGAGGTCAGATACCCTGTTAGTCTGTTTGGAAAAGGGGAGAGATGTGACGAGACCAATCTCGCCACATTGCATTGGAGAAGCCTGGTTGCTCGCCTGCTGCCTTTGGACTATGGCCCCCTTTTAAAAGACTTTATTTTTGCCTGCAGAAAAGCTGTATTCGTGCTTTTCTGCCTGGGGTTCAGTAGATTTGTTTGAATGTGTTATACCCCAGATAGGAATCCCATGGAGCCCATTCGTATGAAACTGACTGTAAAGACTTTAGCTCCATGGCGATTAAACTGTATTCGTGTGGTCTGAGCGCCATTCACTTAATAATGTGCGCTCGGACCTGAGCTATCTGGGGATATGTTACATGTCTGTGTTTTATGTAATAAATGTGACTTTATGTATTTTAAAGTGTTTTGTGTCTCTTTGCAACCATGTGCTTAATGGAGTCTTGTGTCTGTCCTGGGAGATAATTGAATTACTTATCTCCAGGATAGAAGACTCTGAAACTGGTTTGGGCCAGAAAGCCATGCTTCATTTAGTCACAAAGGACTTTTTACTAACTTTTGAACCCCTTGTCTGATTTGTGCCATTTTTGAATATGTTGTTCCCCTGAATGGATTGATTGAGAATATGTAATTTTATGTGAATGTGATGTATGGTTTTGGAGTTATGAAAGTTGGGTAGAAAGTATGTTTTAACTGTTTGTATAATTGAGTTTCCTCTCAGGATAAGGGGAGGGAATATGTGGGATGTAACTGTGATATGATTGGTTGTTTTATCCCTCCCTGTGGGTGGTCCTGTATTTGAAACACTGTAATAAAACCAGGCTGGGTGTGCCAGCACCTCAGACCACTGCTTGACCCTCAACACGGAGCCTTGTCTCGTTCTTGGGGGGATTCACTGTATGCTGTTAGAGACTGATTGCCAGGAGTGTAAGCTGTTCGTCTGCTTTTCCTGTTCGTCTGCTAGCAGCTATTTGGGAGGTTCCAGTTCGGGAGTTGGAGTGCTATTTTGTATCCAGTTCGTGAGTTTTGGTGTTCTGCAGTAGCTGTGCCTGAATCTCTGGAAAGGGGGCCGATCGCCTAAACGGTTTTTACCCCTTGTGTGCAAAACGGTCCGTTACATACGGGATCCTCTTACCTCTTCAAACAGAAACTCTTTACTTAGCCCAAAGTCTGTTAGGACCACATGGCCGCTGGAATCTAAAAGAATATTTTCAAGCTTTATATCCCGGTAGATTATCCCCAACTGGAAAACAAAATGAAAATGCCTGAACATACAGAATATAATGACCATGCTGATGAACTTGCAAAACAGTCTCATGCCATGTGCCACAAAATCAAGGCCTTGCACACATCTCTGGCACTAAAAGGTGTAATCATTACTTTTATAGCACCCATTACAAATTAAATCCCTGACAGATTAATGGGCACTGAAGGGTCACTAGTAAATTCAATAAAATGCAATTTGTGCATTGCAGACAAAAGACAAAGCTATTGGGTAACAGTAAAGAAAGCAATCTTACGAGTCAAGGAAAATAAAATTAAAAAACAAAAATCAAACAACCAATCTATGTAGTTGTTTTGGAACCCCATCAACTCAAATTCTCATTATGTTTGAGGACTAGCAATGATAGTGACAGGAACCACCTGCATACAGAATGAGGTTGATTGTGATCCTTATCATCCTCAGCCAAATGAATCTGAGAGCAAAGGGAGTTATGGCCCTCAGCATTTCACGTCAATATTAAAAGGGACACTATAGTCACATGAACAACTTCAGCTTAATGAGGTTGTTCAGGTGAGAACCATAGCTCCCTGCAGCCTCTCTCATGTAAACACTGTATTTTCTGAGAAAATACAGTGTTTACATTGAAAGCTAGGAACACCTCCAGTTGCAGTCACTCAGAGTGAACCAGAGGGACTTCGGAGTTGAAGGAGGCATAATATGCCTCCATCCACTCAGATCTGCTGTGCACGAGCATCCTGTGATTCAGTATCTCCTCCCACTGCATTCAGACACTGAACTTTCCTCACAGAGATTCATTGATTCAATTCATCTCTATGAGGAGATTCTGATTGGCCAGGGCTGTGTTTGAATCATGCTGGCTCTGCCCCTGATCTGCCTCCTTGTCAGTCTCAACCAATCCTATGGGGAAGCACTGTGATTGGACCAGGCTATCACATGTCAGCAGACTGCTTGTTTTTCCTGAGTCTAACAGCATGCAGATTTACAGCTTCTGGCTTGCATACAGTAAGATTTTTACTATATTTATGGAGGCATGAGGATCCAGATGTTCGTGTTAACACTACAGGGTCAGGAATACATGTAGTTGCACTGGTGACTATAGTGTCCCTTTACGTTTATGGACTATACTTGGGTAGTGGCAATTTAAATAGATACATCCATGTACATCTACACTAAGGACAGTTTTAGAAAGGGGTAAATGTTTGTTCCCTGCATTATAACTATGTGCGCCATAATGTAGCACACTAAAGGAACTGCTCACCAATAAATAGAGCACCATTACAAAATCACCATAATGGCACACAGCACTGTGAATGTCTGCATTTAACATTTAATCAAACCATGCTGTATGAGATGAAAGGTTCTTGAAACTCTAACTATGAAAAGAAAGGAAAAATAAATAAATAAAACTCCACAAATGAACGACAAACTCTCCTCTCTCTCTCCATTTTTATCTTAATAAATGAGTTAATGAAAAAACTAATCACTTCAAAGAATGTTACCTTTCATTGAATAGTCATTCTACACTTACCTTGTGCAAGTGATCAAGCGCAAGTACAATCTCTCCAATATATAACTGGACTTCATCCTCAGTGAATTTCTCTCGCTGGGATAAATGAGTAAACAGTTCCCCTCCATTGATATAATCTGCAAGACATTAAAGGGACGGAGTCACTATAAGGTGTACACTGTTAGATCACAAATATCCAAATTATAAAGCCCAGGTATAGGTGAACTACATTTTTCTTGACATTCAACCAACCTAAGGACAATACCAAGGTAATGTAGTTTGCAAATGTATTGGTTGCGTCTGTTGGCTATCCACACACACCTCACTGCTGCAGGGAAAAAAAAACCCACAAGCTACGAATACAGACCTCTGGTTAAAATCTGAGCTGCACTTCATTTCCACAGCAGGACTTTACAGGCCCAAGACACCAAAAAGCATGCATGGAATGTAAGTACCGAGCAGTAATTGGAAATCACTCATTATCTTTCTGAGATGACAGAAAGATGTGCGCCAGAACATGGCATTTTTAGGGTTAGTACTGGGAGCTCAACCTGAAATCACTGAAAACACAGTCCATCATGTGCAGTCAGGAGTTATCAGGCTACACAGAAACAAACATTTTTAAATGTGGGCATTCAGACCGGTTTAATTTGGCAGTTAGCTGAGATGCATCCAAGTTCTATCTAAAATCTGGCGTTAAGGGGTAGGAAAGATTTAGAAACAAACACGCTATTGTTAAACTTGCGTCCATCAAATTCAGCCTTCCTCACATTTGTTTTTTGCTGTTGATCCAAAAGAAGGCAAAAAAAAAAAAAACAGTTTGAAGTACAATTTTGCAACAAACTAGGAAAAAAAATTCCTTCTTGACCCCAGAATGGCAGTCAGATTTATCCTTGGATCAAGCAGTTATTACCCTACATTGAAAGATTATATCCTTGAATATTCTGTTTTTGCAAGTATGAATCTAGTAGCTGTTTGAACATCTGTATGGACTCTGATAAAACCACTTCTTCAGGCAGAGAATTCCACATTCTGATTGTTCTTACAGTAAAAAAAGAAAAACCTTTCCTTTGCCTTAGACGAAATCTTCTTTCTTCCAGTCTAAACGCATGGCCTCGTGTCCTATGTAAAGTCCAGTTTGTGAATAGATTTCCACACAATGGTTTGTATTGGCCCCTGAATATATTTGTATAATGTTATCATATCCCCTCTCAGGCGACGTTTTTCTAAACTAAATAGGTTTAAATTTGTTAACCTTTCTTCATAGCTGATATGTTCCATTCCTTTTATTAATTTTGTACCCCGCCTCTGCACTTTTTCTAGTGCCATAATATCCTTCTTTAGAACAGGTTCCCAAAATTGCACAGCATATTCAATATGTGGTCTTACCAGCGATTTATAAAGAGGCAAAATTATATTCTCGTCCCTAGAATGAATGCCCTTTTTCATGCATGACAATACCTTACTGGCCTTGGCCACTGCTGATTTACATGTGCACCATTTTGCTATGAAACACTGCACATAAAGGAGTTCAATCCTTCTGCTGCTAGCGGTGTTACTCCACCTCTTACAGCATCATTAGGGCAGCATTAGCCACCCCAGAACAAGAGTTAGGGGCAGTAACGTCAACAAAGGAGAATTGGGGGAGAGCTTGACACAGAAGGGGAGTTTCTGTTACTATTTTCCCCCCTCCAAACAGGAGTGTTTTTTTATGATCTTTGGAAATCATGGGAAGAAGTGTCAATAAAACAGTATATTTTATATCTGTATAAGGCATTTTCTATATTATTGTATTGATGTTATTTATTGGTCACTGAGGAAGTCCTCCATGGAGGTTGAAACATTGAATAGGACGTTTTTTTGCTTTTGTTTTATAATAATTGTTTGTTTGTTTTTACTATATATGTTAATACAGCAAATTTTGTACTTTCTCTACATCTCTGAAGTTCCAGGATTCCTTATTGGGACCATCATCAGAAGGGGGTTATAACCCCCCCATAACCAGCAGCAGAGGCACCTTGAAGGCTCTTATTAAATCTAATTTGTGAGTGCAACCAAAAAGTGTCTTGCGATCAGATGTGAAAACAGTATTGCACCAATGTTATGCTTTATTTATTCATTTTAGTGGTATTAGCTGGATTCCAGAGTTTTGAATTATGTTTGTATCCTGTGATTGATTACTATATTGGGAGGTAACCAGAGGTAAGCTGTATATCCAAAGTTAAGTTGAAATTAGTTGCCATTTCAGCGCTACGGAATTTGTTGGCGCTATATAAATAATAAAATAATAATAATAATTTCCACTAAACACGGGTGAAAAGGTGGAAGTTTGTATTCTATATTTTAAATCTGATGAGGTGAAAATTTAAAAAGGACAGTCCCACCTGAAGAAAAGCAGTAAACCACACAAACCAAACGATTGCAGTTGCGTGTGTAACTTCTAATTCTCCTTAAAAAAAGGAAGCAATAAAAGGCTTTGGGATGCTCAAATTACAGTCATTACAGTGAGGCCTGCCCCTTTACACTCACACCCCAAGTTTCAACATACACATCAGTTCAGGCTGGCAGGGTGTGGACGAGCAATAAGCGGTCATTTCTATTGTAGGAGGAAATTTGAATTTTTTCTAAACAAAACAAAAACTGCAGCTCAGTTACGAATTAACCCAATGACAAACAATTTAAGAGTGCAAAACATGTGGACACTTAGCTTATGTACTAAAGTGAGAATTAACAGGAGCTGAAAGCAAATTTACAATTTAAGGCTAAAGTAATGGCTAAATGCATAGCAGAGTTGAAGAATTTTTCAAAGTTGCTACTTTGGACTTAAACCTGAAATTCACTTTGAGTTATCAACAATTTTCAAGTAAATAACACTGTGCTTGTCCAGTGGGTTGTTCACTAAACACAGTTATATACCTAATTTGACTGCTATTTCCTTTCCTAATGTGTTTTATACCCCACCTCCTACAGACTGTAAGCTCGTTTGAGCAGGGTCCTCTTCAACCTGTTGTTTTTGTAAGTTTTCTTGTATTTGTCCTATTTATAGTTAAATCCCCCCTCTAATTATATTGTAAAGCGCTACGGAATCTGTTGGCGCTATATAAATCGCAATAATAATAATAATAATATAGCTTGATGTATTTTCCATTTCTCAACGTTGGGGTGAGGGGCACAGTGTAACTGTTGCTAAAGCAAGGGATACTCGTCTGGGTCTTTTAACAAGACTGCATGTGGCATAGGACATAGAGGACCCAGAATAGGTTTGAGGGTAAATGAGGCATTCTTTGCATAGATACAGAAAATGTTAAAATATATATCATTTTATAGAACCATACTATACCCAGAATGAGGTGAAGTTTGGTGTCTGTCTGGAAGGCGTAATGAAGTGTGACTAGGAACGGAGATTGCCTAATATGCTCCAGGACTTGTCTTTCTGTCCTCGTGTGTTCTGCTGTCTTGGCTTTCTGAATGATGGTCGCCTTCTTTAACACTTTCATTGCGTAAAGCTTCCCAGAGTCATGGCCACTTATTTTCCGTACCAGGAACACTTTGCCATATGCTACAATAGACAAAACAGACATACATATTATCACAAATTACTTGCAACTAACAAAATACATCAGAGTTATTAACTAAACTGGCTGTTGAGTAGAGAACCTCACATACGAGCCAAAAATCAGGAAAATAAATAGTCTCAAATTCACTATTTTTGACCATCTACACTTTTTTAGCCTAAACTTTAAAAAATGTTCTGGTCACTTCCCAGTTAAATGAAAAATCATAAAGGAGATTAACATATCTAGTATATTATGTTTAAGCCAACAGGCAATTCTCACCGTTTAGCCAAAGATTGGCTGCATATCATGGGAGTTAAAGTTTAGCAACAACTGGAAAATCAGTAGTTTAGTTACTGTGTAAACTGGGCATAAATAAAATAGAGATCAAAATTATATATATATATATATATATATATATATATATATATATATATATATATATATATATAAAAGGACATGTGAACCATGGCAACAATATTGTGAGCGAGAAGGGAGAATATACCTTCCCTCTGCACTTTCTTTTTCAGATCAATTAATTTTAATAAGTTTTTGTCACTTGTTTGACTCCTCAAGCCTCCCAGAAAAGCTAAGAAACAGAACATAATACACATACTATTTGTTGTGCATATTTACAGATATGGTTGAAAGGTACTGTATAAGTGTTAATAACAATATATAATGTTAAGTTTACAGCAATATGTACACAACGCAACAACATATACTTGTCGGCTTGTCAATAAAAAGTAAAAAAACAATATTAATGTTAAAAATAAATAAAGAACCTGTTGCTTAAAGAGAAAAAAAAAAAAATATCTTCACATCAAGCACAGTATTGCATTTACTACCTGAAGAGCTTAAAAAGTCATTAAACAAACATATTTCTTAATTTCTACATAAAATAATAAACACAGACAGAAACACAAAGAACAGGATAATTGCTAGCCATTTAGCCAATGCACGCTCTCAGCCTTTCACTGCCGCTCTACTTAACATAATGTGTTAACAAGAAGCCAGAGCAGAAGCTGTTGGGAGTTCCCATGGGACCTAGTTCATGGTTAAACCATAAATAAATGTTTTAACAGTGAGTCAAGGGACGGCGCCAGGGCACTCCAGCCATTATAACCATTCAAAGAAATGTAGAGGTTGTGATACTCCGACTGTTCATTTAAAGAGAGAACGTTCACGTCTTTAGAATATATGTCAAAGATTTAGGAAATCACATCACAATTCAGTTCTGTTCTGTCCAGGGAACACAATGCAAATGAGGAAGAAAAATAAAAAAGGAAACTGGGAAAGTTATCAAAGCGGTGAAAGTTCTAACAAGTGGTGAAAATAAATCAAGGGGGATGAGGGAAGTCCCTAATGCAATGTGCCTGTTGCTTTTGTTCAATTCCATGGAGACTGGCACACTTTGAATACTTTAGATCACTTTGGGGTAGAACACATTGACAAATCTCCCCCAAATGTGTGCTTGCTGCTAAGTGCCAGGTGAGAAGGACCACGGCTTAGAACAATGATGGACAAGGAGCCAATAGTAGAATAAAGAGAGGTGGATTTCTACAGTCACATTTTTCACAAAATATAAATATAGATTTGTTTCATAAAAGGGATAAGTAAATAGAATATTAAAAATCTTGAGAACGGAGAGTTCTCCATCAACCCGTCCTGAATCCCATCGCAGGATGGTCTGCACTCTGAGCAGATGACAGCACATGCTAGCTATAGAGATTCCATTCAGTTATCCAGATGCCAGCACTGAAATTGAACCCAGAACACAAAATCTGCTATTTGACACATTTTCTAGAAAAATGCACAGACACAGTTATTAGGAAAGCAGTAAGCTTTAGGACTGTAAGAAGTTATGCATGGCAGAGCCCATACAACAGAAAGAGAAAGGACTGGTTCTGTCTTGCACCTCACTTGCCTTCAGACCTGTTCCATTCTGTCACTACATCCAATCCTTATACTTTTCATTTAAACAACACATACAATTAGTCCAGATTATGATCTACCCAACGTCTCCTGACCCTTCACTCTTATATATAGCACACCTTTACCTGGAACACAGGGCAAGTAGCAGTTAAAAAAAATCTCATATCCCAGTAACACCATTGATGGTTTAACAGAGAGGAGTATTGTAAGATGAAAACACACTTACCTCCCCAACACCTTTGAGTAATCAACAATGCTCTAAGTGAGCATACACCATCAGGCATATCATTTCCAATGCTCTGCATTTATGCAGAAGTATCCTACCACAGTTGTAAAAATTACAAAAAAAAAAAAAAAAAAAAAAAAAAAAAAAAAAAAAAAAAATTTTTCAGTAATAACCAATTAATTAAGGGCAAAATAAAGTAACAGCTAGATGGTGGGACAAGGGTTAAACAGAAGACCTTTAGGATACTTTCACAATTCTCAGGACTCAATATATCATGGATCAAGTGGAATGTAAAGGATATGGTTCACGTTTTATCTTGCGAACCATACCTCTATCCATATTAGATCCCCTATCAATCACGGTTTTAAACTCTGCCATTTCACTTTGTCTACCTAAAATGAGGTGTGCCCTTATTGTGCCTGGACTAGGCCAAACTAATATCTGTTGCCAAATCATTTATATACATTTAAAAGAAAGTTATTGGTTATTTTCTTCAATTTAAAAAAAAGTGATCGTTCCACTTTAAGACCCTAGCAGCAGGGGTACATTGCAGGAGATGGAGCGATTTGCTTGCCATCCTCTCCTGCAGATAGCCAAAGCAGGAAGTCCGCCCACAGCATTATGTAATTGTTCCACACAATACCCACAAGGACACACCTTTTCTTTCTAAGTTCTCTTGAGACAATCCTCACATCTTAACCCTAAACCAGTTTCTCTGAGTTTAAAGAACTGTCCTTGAGGCGTGGATGCAACGTCACCGGTATTATATACAGAATAGTCTCAAAAAACTAGAAAAGGGTAAAAAAAAAGTATACAATAGAGCATCACTCCGAGCAACAAAATGCTATTCTGCTCAAGAATTCCATTCTCCTGCTTGGAACTCAACTACGATAATACGGTTATACTTTTTCACATTTGCTAGCTTCTAACTCTCTTTATGGCAGAGTATTGACTGCAGGCAAAACGGTCTGTCTTTACAACAAGATGCCAAATGACAACTTTCAAATGCCATTCATTTGTCACAATTTGGTATTTTCAACAAAACCAGTTTGCTTATTCATACAATTTCTGCTTCCATTTGGATACCGTTCAGTTGAACCTCCATATAAGTTAAACTTAGCTGATATCATTAGAATGCACATTTCAGCCAAAATCATTTAGGTGATCACATTTCCCTGCACACCAACCATTTATCTTAACACAACCCTATATATACACTCTAGTGATATTTCTTGTTTTGTTCTTGTAGCATTGAAATTCGGGTCCAGTTTTGATGAGTTGTTTTAAAATGATTCTCACTGCAATAATAGGATCTATTCAAAAACAGAAAGTATCTACTTGGCTCATTTTGGCTAGTGTTTAGTTGGTAAATACATGGTTGCAACTTTTTGTTTTAACCACATTCTTGAAAACAGAGCTGAATGAATGCCATAGTACTCATTGGTAGGGATAGATTATACATTATAAAATATGTTTAACTCTAAACCCAAATGTCATACATATTGAAGAAGAGGAAAAAAAACAAAACAAAACAAAACCACTCACCAACCAATTAAAAGGAGGAGGATGAATGCATTCTGGAAAATAGGTCTTATTTTCATGGGATGTATTATTTCAGGGAACATAGACCAGTTCACTAGGGGATGGAATCCCGCAAATCTATGTTCAGGGACACTTCCCCGAACATAGATTAGCTTACTTGTGAATGGAGTCCGGCGAATCTATTTTCGGGGAAAATTCCCCGAACATAGATTAGCAAACTAGCAACTAGGGCTTATTTTTGAGGTAGGGCTTATATTACAAACATCCCCTGAAAATAAGCAAAGGTTTCTTTTCAGGGGATGTCTTATTTACAGGGAAACAGGGTCTTTTAAAAACACATTAACCCTGACAGGGAATGGTGTAAAAAATGGAGCAGATTTCACTTATTAGAACACAGTTTTAAGAAAGCACTGAATAAAGGCAAAGAAGACATACAGAAGAAAATAGTACTGGGTGGAGAGATGTGAAGATGGCTGAAGCCCAGAATTTGAGAAATGTCAGAGTGATGTGGGATAGTGGGGGAACTATAGTCTCTTTCTTATTATGTCTACACTACACACAAAAAAAACAAAACAAAAAAAAAAAGACATGGGATTTGGCAGCAGTGACTTTGCCTGCACCATGTATATCAATATTGTGTCTGTTTAAAAAAAGTTTTGTTGTGCACAGTTTTTGCATTTATATGTAGGCAAATGTGCACAGTATGTGCATATGTGCTTAAATGTATATCACGTATGTGCATATACACCATAATCCCACAGGACGTATGGATTCTTTTGAAAGCATATAGAATATAATCTTACCTCCTGTTCCAAGGACCTTCAAGAGTTCAAAGTTTTCGATTCCTACTTTTTCTGCATGTCCAGTCAAGTTTGCTATGGGAAGAACAGAAAGTTACAAGATAACTAACCAGAAATAAGGCGGATCCAGATTTTCCCTGAATGTCAACATAGTTCATATTTATTGATAAAAAAAAAAAAAAAAATAACCCAGAAGAAAGTACATTTAACTCCTCACTGTACAACAGCCAAGTAATCACACACATTTCTAAATATATTAGAAGAATAAAAATCAAAAAGTAATAATTCTTGATACCAGGGAAGAGATTTACTGAATGTTATTCTTTAATAGCTCCTTTATTTAATTTTCCTCAAATGTATTAACATTTATACCCTGCTGCAATTCACTTAAATTATAAAATAAAAAAACAACACCTCTCGCACCATATAAAAAAAACAAACATGCAAAAGTAAAACAGATACACTGGTTCCCTTAAAAGAACACATAGATGACCCTCCATACCCTGCTGCATTGCTTCAAGCTTTCGGTCTGCTGTAAAATGTGTGTGCGTGTAAAATAGGGATTTAGGACAGTGCACATGTAATCTTTTTATTGTATGTATTGGGGCTGATGGCTAATATATGGCTAATATAATCATTGCTGGCACCCAAGAGTAGTGGGAGTTTGAGTGCACGGTTTAATTTCTATCTGCTGTATTGGGAGTGAGAAGTGTCACTGACTGAGCCCAGATACAAATTACTTCTTACTGTGAGGGGTGCCGGTACAATTCGTTCTTACAGAGAATGCATTATTAAAAAAACACTATGATAAATAATTCTATGACCCAATGATCAATAAAAAACAAAACATTCCAATGATATCAAGGAACACTTATTTTACACACCATTGAATAGTGTAACAGAACTTTGTTGTCTTTAAAAAGGACACTCCAAGCACCAAAATACCTATGTTCCTTGCAAAGTTTATGATGCAAGAAGTTTTCAACCCTGGCCCCTTCCAATTCTATTTATTACAATTGCATCTAACGGCTAAAATCTCTGCCCAGTTCTCCAATGACACTTAACAGGGGAAGTTAGGTTTCCTCAGAACATATAAAAACTTGTGCAACATGTAAGAGCACAGCATGCAGGGTGGGCAAGCAATACAATTACAGAAACCACACACACATGCAACTCCAAGTAGCTTTATTCATGAAAAGTAAATAAAAAAAAAAAAAAAAAAGAACATAATAAGATATATGGCAGCTGCTATTAACCCCTTAGGACACATGACATGTGTGACATGTCATGATTCCCTTTTATTCCAGAGGTTTGGTCCTTAAGGGGTTAAAGGAAGGTGCCATTATGACAAATAATTTAAAATGGTTTAAAAAAGAGTGAATCTAGTTACTAAATAAAGGGTTACTCTACCTGCAATCCAGTGACGAGACACTATCCCACCTCTGGGAGACCAGTATTGATGATCTCTCAGCCAAGCGAATGTTTCTCACAGAAGCACATTGGAATGCATGGCCTTCTGCCATGTTTGGCCGCACAAAGCAATCAGAAAGAGTTCCCTCTTGGTTTCCTGATTGACAGCCCAATAGTACAACCCAGCAACTTAATAAACATGTTGATTTCAAAAGAAACTTAGCACTTTTAAAACATCAGAAAGAGGAGACACTCTGGTAACCCATAAAGCACTTTGGAGTGTTCCTTTAACTGGCCTAGAAGTTGTATTTATATTTTCATGAATGAAACTACTCAGAAGTGTCAAATTACATGCAAGGTTTATGTTTCCCCTGGGAGGGAAAACACAGAACCCCCCCCCCCCCCCCCAAAAAAAAAAAACAACCAACAAACACACACACACAACTGGCCAATTTTGACTTTAGTGATTGTGTTGATCTTCAACAAAGAACAATATTGATATGCCTTTTTTTGATAATGGAACATAACCCTGGAGTTTCCCTTAAATAATTTGGTTACCAGAACTGCGTTATTTTCCATAATTTTTCTATGTGGGTATATGTTCATGTTCAATAATATAGCAGGATTCGGAACAGTTGTTGCAAAGTACTGGATATTGATCTTTTCAGCAAGCACTGCACAAGGAACAAACAAGTTCTCTGGACTGAGTCTGCGTGCATTTGTTACCAACAACAAGGACATCAGGAGGCCTACTAATGCCTCTAAGGGAAGCAAACCTCCTAGTTATAATATGCAAGTAAATATAGCCCTAATTGCACCTAGACGGGTGTAATTACATGTTTCCAAATATGTTTCAGAACACAGAAGCTTTGCCTCTCTCCTTCAAGTAACTGGTCCTGCAATATCTACAGACTGAACTATTGTGATATAGGTAAGACAGCAGTACCAACAAAACAGCAAATTGTGGAGATAAACAATCCAACTGCAAACATTTTAAAGTGTGATTCAAAATAAAACTGTTTCTAGGCTAGAAGAGTAAAAAAACAACAAAAAAAAAAACAACACACACACACACACACACCAAACAACCAAAAGAGCATTTTGTTTGTGTGCCAAGAACAATCCCCAAATGCACTAGAGTTCGTTGTAGTGGTTATAGTGGTAGGCATACCTTGCACCCACCTATTTTAATTAAGCAAGCCATTTTAAGAGGGTTTGGCTTCTTACTTGGGTCTGTCAGGCGTTGCCCTGCCTCCACTACTTTCGTCAGAGAGCTGGAACATCTCTGTCTGAGCTAAGCACGATATTTTAGCTTTTAGCATCCTGTAGTAGATATGGGGTTGTAGTGTTCCTTTATATTAAAGAAAACTCAAATAAATCTTTCCAATAGTAGGTTTTAAATTATAAACAAATTCATCATCATAATAGAAAATAATAAATATCCAGAGCATGGTGTAAATGGGGGTTGTGTACACATTTACATTAAGTTTTGGAAAATCACAGTACCTATGCACAAAGTAAAACAAATAAATAATTTACTGCCTGTGCAATGCAACACTAGTATGAAAAAGGGGAAACAACTGTTTGAACATACAATATCCAATGCATTGTTAAAGGACCACTATAGGCACCCAGACCACTTCAGCTTAATGAAGTGGTCTGGGTGCCAGGTCCTGCTAGGTTTAAGCCCTTTTTTTTTTTTTTCCCTTTTCTTTTTTTAATAAAACATAACAGTTTCAGAGAAACTGCTATGTTTACTTTAGGGTTAATCCAGCCTCTAGTGGCTGTCTCACTAGAGGGCTTCCGCGCTGAGAATGCGTTCCTATGGACTGGCTGAATGCGCGCGGCTCGTACCGCGAATGCGCATTCAGCCGGTGACGGAAGAAGAGGGAGGAGAGGAGGAGGAGAGCTCCACGCCCGACGCTGGAGAAAGAGGTAAGTTTAACCCCTTCCTCTCCATCCAGGCCAGCGGGAGGGGCACCCTGAGGGTGGGGGCACCCTCAGGGCACTATAGTGCCAGGAAAACAAGTATGTTTTCCTGGCACTATAGTGGTCCTTTAAGGTTATCCTAATTTAAACCGACCTGCATTAAATTTTTCATTATGCATTTTCACTTTTTATGTATCGTCTCTGTAAGTGAGGTCTCTCAAGTCCCTTTTAAAACACTTTAATGGTGTAACAGGGTTTAAAAATAAAGTGTTACTCCAGGCATCATAAGCACTACAGCCCATGATACTGGTTATGATGCCAGGAGTACTCTGGCTTTGTTTCCCAGTAAAGGGGCAAATCGTTTTGCCCTCTTACCTGGGTTCATACCAAGCACAGAATGTCGTCCAGTGGCCAGTGACAGCATCCAGTTTCTACAGATCTTCAGGAGCTTAAAGTTAAACTGACGACCATTCATTGGCAGAGAGCGTCAGCTGACCACTCTAAACCATAGAATGTGCATAGGAATACAAACATTGTTGACTTTAGCCAGCCTGGGTCTCCAGGCTGACTAAGGACAACCTAATGATGCTGCTGGAGGTAGAGTGACACTTCACTTACATATTTTCAATACATGGCTATTCAAATTTAGACAGCAATTTAGACCTGGGCATTCCTTTTTAGATCAATACATTTTTGGCCAAATATGCAGACATTTGTCCATTCAGCCAACATAGTACTAAGTAGGAGTAGCACTGATGGAGTCTGGCTGCATATATCCAGAATGAAATACCTATATCTGAGAAGTTATCACCAGTCACAAAACTTTAGAAGAGGCACTGGAGATCTTCTTTAAAGGAGCAACTAGATGTTCTTAAAATGTGAGTTTGATAATCCAGGAGGGTGCTCCTCCCTATTCACGTTAAGTGCTCACTCAAAGCGTAAAAGAGGGCTTTTCATAAAGGAGCATTGGACTCAATGCTTCCATATGAGGTGCATTCTTCTAGTAGCGCCTAAATTGCTTGGCATTTACCAAAGGACTCCAATGCTTAACTAAAAAAACCTGGTTAAGAGGAGAGCAGCAGGAGAAGACTGCTTTACCAATGGAAAAAAAGGGTATTTTAGTAGACTTGTCAGCTTTAAAATTAAAATGTATTTATTATGATTTAACACTGGAGCGTTCCATATATCTTTAAAAAAAAAGGAAAGAAATATTAACCAGCAATGCATACTTTGGCTTGTCTTCGTAGCAATAATACACAACCGTAAGCAAGCTACACAGAGACTTGTGGCTTGTGCCAGCTCAGCATTTTACAGACATGCTTGTTATTCCTCTAGTAAGTATTGGATGGAACTATCTCTGCATCTGGATCAGTGCAAATTCCTACATCTATGAAATCGAAAAAGTGTGCAACCAGCATATTGATACAATACTTTATTTTATAGATGTGGTTCACTAAAGGAAGATATAGGAGTAAGCCACCCATATTGCAAAGAGGGGTACAGCATTGCCCGGTGTGCATCACCCATCAACACCTCTGTCAAGAAAACAACTTGCAAAGAGCAGCTTTGTTACCGACGCTGAACAGCTCAAGCATCTTGATAATTTAATCTGTCGCCTACACCAGCCTGAATTTGAAGTAAGTGGGCTGAATGCCCTTTCAAAAGTTGCAGATTTAAGGAAACACTGTGTCCAAGCTTCGGAAATACGGTTGACTTCTCTACAAAATTATTTCACAACAAAGGCCTTTCCAATAACTTCCAGACGTCTCCTGTAAACGTACCATTCTGTACCTTAACACAGAGATTGCACAAGAACACACATGCACTGCAGGAGGGGATAAAACAGGGCTTTGACACAGCTTCAAAATCCTTCCTATTTTATGGGTTATCCTTTATATTGCCAGAAGGCAGGGTGTGAACCTCATGGTTGATCCTTTATGGAAAGGGAAGGTTTAGATTTAAACACACCCTCAGAAATGTAGTTGTTTACCGACTACAATTCCAATCATCCAACTACTTGTAGCATATAAGGAAAATTGGCATCTTAGCCTCTGCATAAACTCAACAAATTTAAAATAAAGAATGCTATAAATCCAGTATAGAAAAGTAACTAAACAAAGGCATTTAAACAAATAAAATAAAATCATTATGCTGGTAAAAAGATAATGAAAGTGGCTTTGACACTCAGTATTTCGCAACAATAAAATTGTTAGGAAATACTCATGTCGACTGTCAGAATGTCACTGAAATTCAAAAGCAATCAGTAGATAAAAGACAACGCAGGAACTACTTTGTCTTAAGGTAAAATGAGAGGCTAGCAAAAATATTGTCTGTTCCCACGGCTGTGGCAAAGGGGTATCTTCTTATATGGGTTTCACTCAGTCTTGACTTCAGAAATTAATTTAGATTTGTTTTAAACCTCATTAAAAAAAAAAAAAATCCAGTATAAACATTAGTTTGTGCCTAGTTATGAACGCATTTTAGGTATTATCACTGGACTCATTTGTACTACATAGAAATAACTTAGAATTGCAAGATATGCAGAAGCAATTGCTACATTTTTGCTAAATCACCGAACATGCCTTCCATACATTCTGTTGGAATCCCACAAGTTTCTCCCCGATAATAACTCTGGAATTCGCATGAGAATGTTTCCACTACTTAATCAGACAGAAAATTCTTTAAAAGGTCAGTAATGATTTAATACGTATGGTTTACCTATGAAATAGCACAAGGAATTAAGTTTTAAAACGCATGTATACAAGTTCTGGGATTTTCCCTCCTTTTAGAAAACTATTGCAGTGAGTAAAGGAACAAAGAGAGGAAAAAAAAATAAAAAAAATAGATAGTAACCCATATAAAATAAATGCTGTGCTCTCTGATTGGCAGAAAGTATTTTCTGCCAATCAGAATATAGCTGGTACCAGATCATGATCAGTGAATTGGAAAGTGCACTCAAGAATGAAGAAATCCCAGCTGCCATTTATTTATAAAATGAATGTAGTTAACATTAGCTAGTTAGTAGGTTTTGGACGTTTCTATTATGTAAAGGACAAAAGTTAGAGGTATAAAATCAGGACAGGAGGAGCACGGGGCTGGAGATAGGCCCACCAACCAGTCTGTCCATGTGACAGGGCTTTCATAGTGCCCAGCAAAGGCCTTGAACAGCATGAGAACACTTAATGATGCTACTGCACTGCATGCTTTATAGACACAAGTAGGACACTGGGGGAAAGGGGGGGGGGGAGTTATAGAGAAAATGATTTTATATTTGGACAGTTTTGCCATATTATTTGCACTATAAAGATACACATATGCTGATGAAATGAGTGCATTGTGGTTTCGTTTTACAAAAATTTTTAATGAACAATAAGGATCTAAAATTAAAACCAAACTGTACATAGGAATCATACGAGTTCACACAATCCTACCATGCAAAGCTATGTCTTTATACTGAACATCAACATCTTCTCTACCCATGGCAAAAACAAATACATTGTAAACAGGGCTTTGGAATGGTTGTCTTGTTCTAGGAAGCATACAACCTATGTCACATAGAAATCAAACTCCAGTCATCATTCACCCACACTACGCCCATAAAAGAAAGTCTAATGGCACTTGAGGCTTCACATAGCATTCATCTCGTCAAATCAATCATCAAAATCTCTAATAGTATATCCATCATTCATGGCCTCTTTGGTAATTACACACAAGCTATAAAATTGCCAGCTTCCTTGGAATGTAATCCTATGGACATAGCCTTAACTGTGACCCTAGACAACAAAACTATATATGCCTCCAAAGGTCATTTATTCAATGCTGATGATAATTAGACAGTATTTGTTTGGTCCAAATTATTAAATGGACACGTCTCGGGAAAGGTACCATTAGGTTTCCCCCCCCAGTCAGAGGATGTCAGAAGAAAACAGAGTGCCATTCCAGCACCGACGGCCATCGGCGTTGGAATCGGACAAGAAAATAAAGGTTTTTTGTAAACTTTATTTACAAAGGAGAGGGGAGGCAGAGGTTAGTATCCCTTTAAAAAGTGACATTGAAATGAACTGTATTATAAACTATACACAGCAATATGTGTACAGAAAACAGTTTTTCAGTACCAATGCTATGCGAGGACACCAATAACCTCAACTGGTTCTATTTTGCAGAGCTTTTTCCTTCATTATTGGATACTTTATACCAGGGGTAGGCAACCTTTTAGCAGCACTGTGCTGCAATATGATTGTGATGTCCCGTAGCGTGTCGGTCCTATTTCTTTAAATTGAAGTGTGTATGTTGCCATATTCTGCTTGTGTTATTTATACTGCAGTTGCTTTGTATTTGTGCGTATATGAGCTATTATATTGTATATGTTCATTAATAGTTTGTGGTATCATGTATAATACTTATGAATTTGGGCTGTGTATGGGGGCTGCTTGTGGAATTGTGTGTGGATAGATATATGAGTGGGATTGTTTGGGGTATTGCATGTGAGAGGCTGCATGTGGGGTTGTGTCTATGTATGCGGATTGTTGGTGGTGTTGTGTTTGTGCGCACTCTGTGTGTGTGTGTGTGTGTGTGTGTGTGAGCTGTTTGTATTATTTGTATGAGGGGATTGTTATTCTGCAGCTCTGTGTATATCTAGCAGTGTGGGTGGCTTCCCTGGGTTCCAATGAGGACCAGGCTGGCCAGGTAAAGCTCAAGGACAGAAGCTGCAACAGGAAGCTGTAGGCTGCTCTACTCCAGTGTGGATTCCCATTCACAAGTGCTGGGGGGGGGGGGGAAGTGATCTAAGATCACTTCCTCTATGTACTGCAATGCATAAATGGAGGATTGTCCTTCACCACCTTTTTGTATTAGCAGATATCTGAAGTTTTACTGGGTCTCCTGACAGGCCAGAGCCTGTTTGGCTCTTGTAGCCTTGAGTGCCGTGCAAAGGCACCTCGAGTGCCATGCATGGCACTAGTGCCGTAGGTTGCCCACCCCTGCTTTATACTATGCAGTTCCATTATATGCTATGCATGGATTTAGAATTGTGTCACAACTTGCCTAGGTCCCCGGGGTACTCATCTGGTTTCTACTGCATGGTGTTTTCACTGTTCTGTATAGTTTGAAAAAAGGAAGAACTCGTTAGCTAGAAGTGCTCAGCTAACTCTCCCAGCCAATGAGGAGTCACCCTGCTTAGGAATGAAGCAGGGCTGCAGCCACAGGTGCTCAGCAGAACCCAGGTAAGTGTTTAAGTCATTCTAAAACAGTTTGGCATATTAGACTGGGAGGGCAACATAACCAATACAATGTGCCTTAGTAGTTATGATACTTGAAGTGATCCATTGAGCTCCCATATGCTACAGTGTAACCTTTCAAACTGCCAAGTACACCTGTGAATGCTATAAAACCAGAACAAATACAAAAGCTAGGTGTATCAAATCCGACACCTTGGAGAAGAAAGAACAAAATATGCCAGGTATAAATCATCCACAGACGCGAAAATATATTCCTCTTTATAAATAGAAAGAAAATGCGTCTTCCACACCCAAAGTAACAAAGACAGGAACATTTATAAAAAAAAAAAAAAAAAAGGGATTGTCAAGTTTCACGCTCTCAGTGTGAACTGCATCAAGAACTGATACATTCTCTGACAGCAAAGACCAGAACAGAAAACAAAACCGCAAAACCAGCACCAGAAGGAAAGGGAGATGGATGGAGACATTGTACATAAAGATACAGAATACGCAAACAGTATTCCTATATTAGTCATTTTAATATTTAATATGTATTGAAGTCTTCTGTGGGGAATTATTATACTGTAAAAGACTGAAAGTAAAACGTTTACAAATATCAACAGAACCAATCTGACATTAGAGAAACATTGTTGGAACAACAATTTATATTACTGTTGTAATTTTCTATTATTCTGATCTCTTTGAAGATTGACTGTGAGATATTCAAGCCACTAACTTACAATGCTTTCTCATTGGCTGAGCATGTACTCAAGAGTACTTTGAATAAGTTGTATTACAAAAATAGGGTGTGTGTCTAAGAGGGAAGGGTTAAGCTCCAGAAAGCTGCAAACACAACATATTGAGAATTATTTGGGGAACACTCAAAGGACCATAAAGAGGAATATCCAGGAACCAACGACAGAAGGGTCTGGACAACCCCCCAATGGTCCAAAGGAACATCCCTCTAGAGTCATATGATGGTATGACTCTAATCTTGTGAGTTTAACCCATTTATCTCTACTTTTACCATCTTTATTGGTTCAGACTCTCTACACTATTTGTATTTACTCTGTTTTACAGATTATACAGGACACTACGCAGCTCCACCTATTACCTTGTATGTATTATATTGTTTGTATAGTGGTGTAAGGGGTACCACTTTATAGGTGTATTTAGAGCTCACTTTCTAACACTGTGTATACTATTTTGTTTTATATTGCTGGGGTTATACTCCTGTACACCAAGGCGGCATGATGTCGGAGACCCGAGGTGCCCTGCTGTGGCCTAAAAAGGAGGGAATTGGGGAGATGCGGCTGATCTTCCTGGACTCCGCTCCGGTAACCTGTCGAACCTGCCCTCCTACCACCCACTGGGCAGTGCGGTCACCCTTTATCCTGCATTCCAGTGCAGCACACCAGAGGGACCTGCACCAAAGATGGCAGCATCCCTTTTACCGGCTGGACAAGTCCTGAGCTCACCTCAGGGGTCTCTCCCTAGCCCTACAGCAAACATCCTGCTCTGACTTGATGCACTATTCCAGTCCTTCTGGGCGCGGATTCAAGCACGTCACCGAGCTGAATTGCCACAACACCAGAAGGTTCACGAGGCAGGTGCGCTGATGTGGTATACCAAGCTCACATAAGGGGTTCCTGCCACTACCACGCCTCCCAACACTGCCGCTTGCCTTCCTAGGCCGAGAGCAACACAAAGCACAGCCTTACAGCATCACCCACGTGTGTAGAGGATTCACACGCCGCAAGCGGCCTACAACATGCAAAAACCCCGCATACCCCGGTCAGGCGAAGGAAAAGTTCTCCGAGAGGACCAGAGTTCGTGGAATCCAGATGCAGGCCCTCACACAGGGTGGGGCCGGAAGAGCGCTGTGCTCTGGTGTGAATGTGCCGACCACCGCCAGAACCTACTTGGTATAGTCCAGTGGTTTTTAACTTAACCGTATAATTTACACATGTCCAGTTAACGATTGCTTAATCTTCTATGAGGTCTATTGTAGACATGGACGTGCCTGTGAGCTTGTATGCCATATCACTGAGAAATGAGAGGATTAACAAATTTTTGTCTTAGTTACTGCATCTGACTGCTAGCATCTACATATTAGCATATTGTATACACATGCTCAGTCCGAGTTGCATTGTTGATCCTATTTGCTTAATCTACGTAACTAAAAAATGAGACTTACACACGCTGGCGTTTATTACCCTGTGCGTGTATCTGTAAATTTGATCTACAATCATCTGTCTTAATTCTGTTTCTTTTTTCTGTATCTTATAACTTGCAGTCTCTATAAAAAACAGATTGACAAAATTGAAAGAAAAATAAAAAAATCCAGGGTAGTAACATTTAAAGGCTACTCCAAGTACCATGACTACTTCACTGATTTAAAGTGCACGATGCTTAGATTCTGTATGTGCAGCGTGTTACTCCACCTCCAGCAGCATCATAAGCAGCCCGAGACTAGTGAATGAGATTTCCAACCGGCTAATGTTAATATTGTGCATAAAAGGCCATGCATGCTCACTAAAGACAAACAAAAGCAGTATGGGGTGGGAGAGGGAGACATCACTGGAGGAGGACTGGGCTGCAGGAAGAACTTGATTTTTGATTACTGGTTCTGATAATTGCCAGTGACTGACAGCATCTTGCTTCTAAGATTGTTGAAGTAATACAATTTAGACTAAAGTAAAGAATAATCTAAAGAACCAAGGACATGGTCGCAGGAGAAGACATCAGTGGCTTGTAGATTGCCACATTCAATAAGAGGTCTATGCAGAGCTGCTCTTTTTTCTTCAATATATAAATCTTAATTGAAATTTAAGAGGTTTTTAAAAATTTACATAATACATTAAAATTACAGTGCTGCTCTTCTTAAATGCTCATGGATATTTACTTACCGTATATACTCGAGTATAAGCCGAGTTTTTCAGCACATTTTTTGTGCTGAAAAACCCCAACTCGGCTTATACTCGAGTCACTGTCTGTATTATGGCAATTTGCATTGCCATAATACAGACTGGGGGCTGGCAGCGAGCTGTTACTTACCTCTCCTGCAGCTCCTGTCAGCTCTCTCCTCCTCCGCGCCGGTCCGTGCAGCTCTTCTCTCAGCTCACACTGTAAGTCTCGCGAGAGCCGCGGGGTCATAGTGCGGCTCTCGCGAGACTTACAGTGTGAGCTGACAGAGGAGCTGCACGGACCGGCGCGGAGGAGGAGAGAGCTGACAGGAGCTGCAGGAGAGGTAAGTAACAGCTCTGACAGCCCCCCTCCTCCCCCCACTGAACTGCCAATGCCACTGGACCACCAGGGAAGGAGAGCCCCCCTCCCTGCCATGTATCAAGCAGGGAGGGGGGACAACAAAATAAATAGATTAATAATATATAAATAATAATAAAAATAATAATAAAAAAAGTATTAAAAAAATAATATAACAAAAAAATTAAAATAATAAATAATTAATAGTATATAAATATAAATAATAAAAAATAATTAAAAAAAATAATATAACCAAAAAAATTAAAATAATAATATTATTATTTTTTATTTTTTTTTATAAAAATGCCCACCCCCCACCAAGGCTCTGCAACACAAACACACACTGCATCACACACACACACTGCGCACTCATACACACACACTGCATTCATCATATACACACACTGTAAATAAATATTCAATTAATATAATTTTTTTAGGATCTAATTTTATTTAGAAATTTACCAGTAGCTGC